CCATCATACAATGCCAGTGTCCCAAAGGCCACAGTATATGGCATATAATAGATCATCATTTTCCCTGTGGGGAACAATCACCAGTGACCAAATCTGTTACCACATCAAGGAGCCTTATAATTTGGACTGATCAAGGCAGTGATCTGTCATCTTCCATGTAAAATTAAGAACTTGAATCATCATACTAAAGCACATTTATGACAGTTATGCACAGCAGAGGAGTAAATGGGAAAAAGAAACGGGGCGGTTGATGATATGACATGAGGACAGCATGGTGATTGTGCTGCCTGACTGCACTCTGGCGCTGGCTGCTCAAACAGCCAGAGCTGAAATGTCACCATCCCTCTGCAGAGAGAAGGACTGCTGACAGCCTGTATAAACACAAGCATCATCATCCCCCCTGTAAAAAGAGCACCCAATGAATTCCATGTGTATTCAGTAATGTTCTGTTGCAGTACATTTGTTCTCCAACCTGTTTTTACCATTGTAGAGGATGTCTCTTGTCCATAGCGAGGGAGGAATAAACTTCAGATTGACATGGACAGTCCTGACATTATCTTTGTTTAGCTTGTCAACATCACACCTCACACTTTATCCAGATGTACCAGCTGATACCATAATGCACCTGATGTTGACAAGTGACTAGACTGGTTAGAGAGACAACCATGTTTTAACATAACTTTTAGGCCCTCTGAATTCCCATCCACCATGGGGAATATCATTTTCTTTAGCCATAATAAATTGTCAATGTTGTTAAACATACTGACACCTAGTCCACAACAGCAAGCAGAAGAAGTACATCAACATCATAAAACCTTTGGTTTTCTGTCCAGTCCAGTGTTGGGAAGGTTACTTCTGAAATGTAATAGATTACAGACTACTACTTTAGTTACCCTGCTAAACTGTAATAAGAAATTTAAGAGTTTTAATTACTGCATCAAAGTAATGTAGTTTATTACTTTTAATTACTTTTTGGTTACTTTTCTAAAGAGTGTTATTGTCGGGGACTGAACAGTAAGGCAGAGGACACAGCATTTAAATTTCAATGTTTTTTTTTTTTTTACTTACCCAAGATTAAGGAAAAAACGCAACATCAATATCAAACAAGCTGGGCCTGAACAGAGGTCAGCAAAAGATAAGGAAACTCCAAATGCAGCAAACTGAACAACAACAACAACAACAACAACAACAACAGAGCCAAATGAGGACCATATAGACTGGCTGACCAAACCAGTAACACACAGGGAATAGACAGACACTAACTAAATAATCCACCAAGTTCTAACATAAACTAGAAATAAACAATATATTTCTCCCAAACACCCCCCTTCCTGCACTGAATACTTGGTACGGTCCAGGCCTAGTGGAAGGTATTTAAACCTGCTTCTGCCTCAGTCTAATCTTTTTGTTGGGACCATCCCATCCATGGACCGGTAACAAGGTAACTCAAAAAGCAGATTAGCACACATTAGCAATGTGTTGATGATATCAAATTAATCAAATGTGCATGTTTCATTGATTAGTTTTGAATGTCTAAACCTAATGTCTAATCAAATGCCTAAAATCTACCTACAACTTAAATCTATAAACATGAACAAAGAAAACTAAATGAAAACAAAAGAGCATTACTAATTTTACTGCTGGTGGTGGCGGCATAGGCCCTCACAGGAAACTCCAGTAACTTGTGCTTTTTTTTAAACTTGTATATATTTTCTGTTTATTAATTTTGTTTTTATGTTGTGCACATCGGGGGCCATTGGGCTGGTGTCAAATTCCTTGTATTTTTGAGATACTTGGCAATAAAGTTTCTGCTTATGCTTCTCGTGAAGGCCAGGGCTGAGGCCTTCACAGTTATAAACTGGGCAATACAGCTGAAAAGTCCTGATATAAATTTAAACCAGACAGTGTAAACCTCAGAACTCGACACTGATTACTGTCAAACTTTTTAGTGTCTTCAACTTAACTTGAGCTACATAATGTATTACTGCCAAAACATGTAGCCTACTGAGAGGAAAATGTTGAGCTTCCTGCACTGAAAAGCATTGGTTAAATGTAACTAGTTTTGCACCAACAGTGGTCAGGTCTGCTCTGGATGCCTCCCACCACAGTACTGCTGTGCACTCATGTGTTTGCCAACACTCCCAGCCTGATACACAATTAATGTAACTAGAAGGAAAGTTTTATATATAAGAATATGTTTTTGGTCTGTAGTTTAGGTGCAAAGCACAGACTGTTGCACAACCACACCAACAGAATAAAGTCACTGGTGGTTTTTTTTGTCTTTCAGGTGTTGTTCGCCAGGTGAAGCCTCTGATTGGACCTTTGACTACAGTACTCAAACTGTCCATGCTCATCCTGGTAAATCAAGGTGACTCCAGCCAAAACATTGTCAACGTTCACATCTTTGTCTCTGAGTTCTGGTTCTGAGGGGTGTCTGCCAGATTTTATCACATATATTAAGACATCCCTTGTCAACACTGTACACATTGATTTTATTATTATCAATGCATAGATCAGTGTCGAGGTTTTAATGTTACTGTGTTTGATTACTTTTGATAGTTTCTGAGATGAAAGTCTACTAGCTGCTTCTGATGAGAACACTAAACTTTGTTTTGATGACAAGCTCAGCCTAAAGTGCACAGTGTTGGGTCTGGCATGATGAAATCTAAATATGGTGAAGCTATATATTATAAAAAAACAAAACTCTTAAGAAATCAGAGGAACTTTTAAATTGAAAGTGCATGTATTTAGAAGGGTCATTAAAGGATATGATGACTGAATTCAACAATATTCTCTTCATGGCATTATAAGCCTTTGATTTTGTAACATTCACTTTTCCTGTCTCGCTGCATGCATTGAATGAGGTTTCCCCTCTATGAAATAAACACTATTTTAGTTAGAGTATTTGTTTTTTTGTTTCCTTCCAGTGACAATTAAAATCAATAAAAAAAAAAATTCAATTTACATTTATGGGTTCAGGGACTCATAAGATATTTGTAGGTAGGCCTATATTTTACAAGCAAGAAAAACATAATGGGGCCTTTTAGTCAAATTAAGAACATTTGCCAAGTAAATAAACTAGTAGTTTCTGAATAACTGAGCCATGTCTGAAATAACTCTTTGCTATTTAGTACTCTACATTATGGCAAAGGGTAACTGTCTGAAATCCAAGTGTAAATAATTGGTAAATTCCAACAGTACAAGTAGAAATGTAATATCCACGGCATGTATGCTGTACTACTTTTGCTTATGTTTGATAATTATGAAAAATTACAATAATGCCATGCTCAGTGATAACTGAAGTACTTCAATCTCATTTTAGTGTTCATGAGTGAAACTACAGAGTGTCTTTTTATATAAAGAACAGTAAATGAATTGTTTCCAAACTTAAAATTGCCCTTTAGAAATGCAAATGTTTTTATCACTTTAATTCATTTTACTTTTACCTGTTGCCACCTGGCCATGAAATCATGTGCAATACCCAGAATGAATTCGTAATCCGATTACTGACTGGTAAGTCGGCCATGTCAATATATCCAATAAAAAGACAGGCAAATAGAACTACAGTACCTTAGCTGGTTTACTTTCCTTCATGGTTGCCTATGGAACATTGGCTTCTATTGTGACATTTGGAACATTCTGTTTGTCTTTTCACCCAGTGGTATCCGGTGAGAGGTCATAAAGAAATAGACTGTCCTCTGAATGCCCTCAGCAGGGATGTACATAAGATACTCAGCGTTCAGTGATTCTACTCATGGCCTTTCTGACAGTTTGAAGCTGAAGGAGGATTTCTAGAAAAAATATGATAGAGTAACTGGGTGAGGGTACCAGTGGGCCCAGTGGGCATGGGTACTAGCAATTGCATTCCTAATTGCATTTATCAATGAACCAGAAGTTCCCTTCCCATCAAAAAGCCTAACTGTGACTGTGTTCATTTTGGCTGTATCCAGCCAAAGCCTCTCAATACTTCAAAGACAGAGGAGGAAGTGCACACATCAGGCTCTCAGATTGTCTACCATGATGAATTTTAAGGCTCTACTGAAGGGGGATATCCTCTTCAGAGGAAATGGAGGCCAGCAGGTCAGTCTTGTGGTTGACATAAAGAAGAGAGAAGAATTGTAGTGTGTGAGTATGTTAAGCCTAAAACTGCACTTTCAGCCGATGCTTGATGGGGTCCTTGCTTTCAAATCTTTCTGAATGTATGCAAATATAGGAGCGAGTAACCTAACTTATGTGATAATAAAAATAAGTTCAAATGGCCTGATTTGGAGATTATGTGGGGAATAGGTGGAAAAATTAATTGTAATACATGGAAATAAAACAATCCTGGGAATGAACATACTGACTTTGTCCTTACAGTTGCTATGCTAATCAGAGGAAAGAAAAGTGTAGAATAAACAAGAATATAATTTTAGAAAGGGTTGTACACATACATCATAATGAAGGCCCCTTGATTTTGTTCATTCTAAAAAACTGTGCATTGTCCTCTATACACAGATCTATAGAAGTCTACTTCAGCAGTGCATCAGATGAGGTGTGCAGTTGGACGAACATTTTAAATTGGCTGTGAGTAGTTTGCAAGATACCATGCCTACTCTGCATATTTGGCTGGTTCATACTGCCTACCAAAATCCACAAACATATTGTAACAACTTAAACGACCAAATATGAGCAACAAAAATCCATATAGTCAAACTGTGTGGGAGGACATTACCCAAGAACAGCCTGCTGGCTCTGTGTTGGGACGGTAAGAAAGGCTGGGGCAGCAGTCCCTAGCAGTGTTACCAAACCGCATACATGTGTGGGGACAAATGAGCAAATATTTTCTGCCAGATTCTCCATCCAAAGCCAAGAGGGAGCTGCCTGCACTGGAAGCCTATGGTATGACTAAGCTGAGTGGGCATTATGAGTCGACGTAATGGCAGGAGAGCAGACCGGTGCGCGCCTGCACTGTTTGTTGTGTACTCTACTGTGGCACAATGGTGGTCAGGCCTCTCAATACAAGTGGTCATGGTGGTGTCTGGCCCAGAGTAGACAGGGTATGGGGCTGATGGAAGTCTAGCCCAGGGGATGGTGAGGCTGGTTGATTCCAGACAGAGACCAGAGGACCTCAGGAGGCACGTGCTCGGCCAACTCCTGCACTAACCCACTCCTTCTTTTTCCTGGCGTCCTACCACAGGTCCCACCGCAACACATGTTATAGGATATAAGTGAGTTCTTTTAATAAATTTAGGGGAATTTATTTTTTTCCTCTATTTTATAAACCACTGTTCCTCATTACCATAAACACATTTTTTGTATTTTTAGACAGGCACTACCCAATAGCTGAGATTCTCATATTTGCAGTGCATTTTATGTTCACAAAAATTATATCTATTAAAGGCAAAAAGCTGATGTCTAGATGTTACATTTTGCAAGTGTGGCAAGTAAACCACAAGCAAAATATTAATTATCACTACAAATTAGTACTTTTTACAGTTATTTAGTCTGTTTTGGAAAGTTTTTTTTTTTTTCTGTGCATTTTAAAGAATTTGCAAGTGGTGTTTCTTGTAAGTCCAACAGATGGCAGACACATCCAACACAACAGTGCACAGGCAGAATTTTAACAATGGAGTGTGAAAAACAATCATCACCTGAAATTGCAGGGGGTGAATTGGCCAACAAAAGAGCAATGAGTTTTGTTGTGTATTTTTTTTTTTTTTAAACAGAAAATTAAATTTAGCTTTCTATCCAGGAGGACAGATTTTGCAATAAGATCTGAACTTACTAAAATGTATGCCTGTAATATTAAAATACATGCCACTGGGACCTAAAGAGTACACCATTAAACTCCTGTAGGACTTAAGCCTAACAGTGTGGGAGTGTGATGTACTGTAAATGTTGCAGAAAGGTCTGCTGGGATCCAAAGTAGGATCATAAATGATCAGCTCCACAACACTGTATTTTATGACAAGATCCATAAAGCCTCTGTGATATGGGATTTCTATTATTGCCTTCCCTTAAATCAATTAAATATTTTGAGGTTTAGGGTGATAGACAGGTCACCAATTATACCGGGGCTCCACCTTGACCCAAAGAATAACACAGCACACAGAAGTGTGCCCCTCCATAACTTACAGGTTTTAAACATAACAATTTATAACCACTACTCAAATTGACTTGTTGCCAGAGTACACAATGGATCAATCACATTTGGGAATAAAGACAGAGGCTGTACTCATGAAAATTCAGCTAGCAGTCTTTCTGTTGTTATAAGCAGTTCAGAATACACTGTGACGTCCACAGATGAGGCATATCATAGGGAAGTAGGGGATGATGGCCATCTAAAATAGTTGGTGACCTTAAACTGTGAAGTCATTTTTCTGATGGAACAAAATGGGATTTTTAATGTGGCATATATTTGGTTAATGTGTATATCTTGTTGACACAAGCAAAACGTGCTCTTTATAAGAATAAAAAGCACATTGTTTGTTCAGGAAGCGATCTATATTCTGTGACACACAAGCTTTGATTAAATATCCAATAGTGGAAAACAACACTTGGACAATGTTTAAGAAGTATCCAAATTTGTCCCAAACACATTTCTTAAAAATGGAAGCCAGTCTATATCATCAAATTTAATGCAAAAACAAGAATTCTAAGGCAATTCTTTTCACAAGTCAAACCTACTGTATGTCATGACGTACTTTGTGTCCGCTTTGAAAGCTTGTCCAGTGCTGAGGCTCAGCCTTTGAGGATTGTAGTTATACACTTTGACAACTGACATGATCTCACACCTTATCTACAAACATCTGCAAAACAGTATAAGTGGCCTTCAGACCTCAAATGTTTCAGCTTTCACTGTATGTGAAAGTGAGCTGTTTTTTCGTCTGTGGCTGAATACACACCCAACTGTCACCCCTCAGCGGACACCTCGCGCCGTCTCTGATGTCTCTGGGACTCAGAGCAGTGACCAGATAGGGACTAAATTAGGAGACAGGAGATTTATGAATGGATTTTATCATTCTGTACTCTATGTTTGGATATGTAATCGTCAGGATTTCACTTTCTTTTGAGTCTGACACTTGGAATCATCACTTTGAGCGGTCAAAATGACGCCCAGTAATTCATCACTAAATCACTCAAAGTGTTTAAGCTTTAAGTGATGAAAAAAGACATTGGCTAACACCTTTGGTACAAAACCTAAGAAACCTTCTTTCCTGGAAATGCCACAGACATAACAAAAATATATAAAGCAGCTTTTAAAATGATTTTAAAAAGGATCCTGCTAGCATACTTGGTCTGAACCAGACCTCATCTGATTAAGGAAGTGAAAAATAAAGCTGCTGTTCTTAGATAACATAAAATTTATAATAGTTTTTTTCCTGAGCTCAATAAAAAAATTATATTTAATAAAATATA